ATATATATATTATATATTAATTATATATATATTATATATTAATTATATATATATATATATACACACACACACACACACACACATTATATATATATTTTTTTTTAGATCCTGTTATTATGTCAGTTAAGTCTTCTACATCTTACGCGCAAGAAGACTTGGACCTGATCAATTCAGAAATACTAAATTTGGAACATTCTGCCTCACCATTATTATCTGAAGCGAGAACACCTAAATCTGATAGTTGTGGCGAAATGTGTTATTCTAGACCTGAATCATCGGCAGACTCCTTAAATCTACCAGATAGTTCCGAAGTAACGGATAATGAGTATAAAGCGACAAATCTAAAAGAAAATAGTGGTATATCCGTAAAAGATAAATTAACCGAAAATTCGGATAATAAAGTGAATACAGTAGCGATGCAACTTGGAATTGTTGAACCAGAAACAACAATGAAGACTGGTGCCAAAGATCTAATGATAAAAGAAGAATTAAGATTACCCAGCAACAAGGAGCTTGACAAATCAGTGGATTTGAAACCAAAGATGATTTTAAATCGTGGTGGTTTGAAATTTTTTCCTGGTGCCAAATTGGAAGCGAAAGATTTTAGTGAAAAATGGCAAGTATTATAGAATATAATTTCAAAAATAAAATATAGTCAAAAGAACACGTAAAAAATTTATTGAACAATTTAAAAACTATGGGTGCTTTATAACGTTTCATACACAAAATGTGAATTATTTAAAAGTTATCATGGGTTTGGAGAAAGTGAATATATGTATATGTATATTTTGAGATATATATACATATGTGTAGAAAGTAAATATATGTATATCTTGAGATATATATACATATGTCTCTATACATATACACACACACACACACACACACACATATATATATATGTTTCAAATATACATATAAATATCATATACATATAATGTAAATAAAATATTACATAGATATTAATATATACACATGCATACACATATGTATGTATGTATATGTATATGTATATGTATATATTGATTAATATTTATACATAGGCATTCTGCAAAAGTGGTAGAAACAGATTGGGAGGAAAGGGAAGTCTTAATACATTTCAACAAGCCAAATGCAACAATTGATGAATGGATACCAATGGACAGTTCTAGACTTCGTGTATTACAAACCCCACAAAAGTAAGTTAGCGTTCTAATATAATCATTGCAAGCATCACAATGCATTGATTATTATAAATTATCTATTTCACTTTTTTTAAAAACCTAATAATCCTATCTCGATAAGCTTACATTTTGTTTGTCCTTAAAGCGAACAAGCTTGGATCTTATCATCTCCGTAAGTGAAAATTGTTATTGAATAGATAGAGACTCCTAGTATTCGATAGTAGCATTGGTTTCATCATTGGTGTAGTGTGTGTGGTGTGTGGTGTGTGGTGTGTGTGTGTGTGTGTGTGTGTGTGTGTGTGTGTGTGTGTGTGTGTGTGTGTGTGTGTGTGTGTGTGTGTGTGGTGTGGTGTGTGTGT